AAGATTTACAATTTTGATTGGGCTAAACCAATATGCATGATCGGGATCATCATTTCCTTATTTGGGACGGTCCCTCCTGTTCCCTGCTGGGGTCTACTAAAGGGTTTAAAATTGGTGGAGTGAAATATACCCGGGTCTTGTATATGCACTTTTACGGTATTTATGCAAGTGGGCTAAGTTAGGCGCAAACTGTGTGAATTTTTTAAATTATGCAATTCACATTTTTATGCCTTACGAGCTTTAACGTTAAGCTATAATAGGCTAATGCGTTGCATTATGTGTTCGGAGCACATGATGATCACCATATAACAAACGCGTAAGTGTGCATATTTTCGTTACGTTTAAAGCACAAATATAGACACGCGCGTGCCCGACAAAATTTTCCAAATTACATTTCTGATAATGCATCAAAGAGGTAACTATTTTTGGCCAAAATGCATCAATAATGTAATTTTTGTATCATCTTGCATAACGCTGTAAATTATACAGTATTTAAACTTTATATAATAATAAGGCTATGCAAAATTAATTTATTGGTTTTTCATAACCCGGCCGGTCAAAATTTGAAATCTTATAAAAAATTTTTATGTTTTAATAACCGGGTGGGTTTTTAAAAAAAATTTTTTAAAAATTTTATAAACCGTTTATATATGAAATTTTAAAAAAAGCCAGCCGGCAGGCCGGGTCTGTTTAAAATTTCATGTTATGAAAACCAAGACATTAAATTTGTGTAATCTAAGATTTATATTATGTAAATATTATATAGAATAATTATTATATAAATATTGTATAGTTTAAATTTTATATAGTAAATTTTTATAAAAATTACAAACTCAATGTAGATTTATGTAGAAAATTTATATAGATCTATATAAAAATACATTTGTAATATGTGGTGAAGTTAATAAAAATAGAACAAATCTATCTAATAAATTTGTCATATTTCTATTGACTTCCCTATATGTGATATAACAAATTATGTAAATACAGTCAGACCTCTCTATAGTCACCCTCTCTATAGTTATATATATTTATAATCATATAAATTTTAAAACTAATTTATATAATACTTATAAAATTTTACTTATATATAGGTATAAACACTTTATAAGCACTGAATTCTTGAAATCAAAAGTGTAATTATAGAGAAGTTTGACTATACAATATACAATATATCTAAATTTTAATATATAAAAAATATATCTAGTATATAAAACTTTCAAAAAATAAACCTAGATCCAAATACAAATTACAAAATTTTTATAAATTAAATATAGTTTTTTAAAATTACTAGATATAGTTAGATCTCTCTATAGTCACCTTCTCTATAGTCATATTTGCTTATAATCATATAAATTTTTAAAGCCAACTTATACAGCACTTATAAAATTTAACCTCTATATAGGTATAAACACTCTATAAGCACCGAATTCTTGAAACCAAAGATGTCATTATAGAAAGATTTAACTGTAGTTCATTATAAATCAACAAATATATATACTTAAATTTTTTACAATATTTTATAATATAATCTTAGTTGTATACTAGATCCAAATCTTGTATGCGTATACAGTCAAACCTCTCTATAATCACACCCTTGATTTCAAGAATTTCGTATTTATAGAGTGTTCATGCTTATATAGAGATTAAATTTTATAAGTGCTATAGTTGGTTTTAAAATTTTATGTGATTATGACTATAGAGAAGATGACTATAGAGAGGTCTAACTGTATACTTTTACAGTAATTAATTTGTCTAAATAAATCTCAAAAATATTTAAATGTTTTAATCTAAGCTATTTTAATTTATTATTAATTAATATACTAGTTTTATTTTATTAATTTTTAATCAAATTATATAATAACTTCTATCGCTATGTGCATTGTAAATTTTAAGCCACTTGCATTTCATTACGCTACATTATCAGCATGTAAAATGCTTCATAATGCACCTAAATCTCAAAACTCGTACGATTTCGGGAAGTTTTGTGTGCTGTAAAAATAACGTTCCACAATTGGTGCATAGCCGAAATCAGTATGTATCGGTATAATTAGTATGATGTACCTCACATGTGCCTGCTGCCATTAGCAGGTTAGACGGGTTGGGTCCACGGGCCGGCCCGTAGGCCCGACCCGTCTAACCTTAAAGACAGGAGCGACGTTCAAATTCGGATATGGTTACACAATTGATAAATAATTTTTTTTATACATTTTACAATACTTTTAAAAGCTCAGGTATCTTAATTGTCTATGAAACGAGAGTAAATTTAACGGATGAATTAATGTTTTTGCTTCGCTCTATAACATATTCTTTGAATACCGTTTGGCCGATTTGCTAAAACTTGTGATATGAATGGTTGACAATCACGTGTAATTGTATAGGAATCATCTACGAATTTGAACGGTCGCTCCCGTTCATGCTACTAGCAGCAGGCACACGTGAAGTACAAATGGGAGCGCATTTGCCGAAAGTGGGTTCATCATACTATACCGATATATACTTATTTCGGCTACGCAACAATTGTGGAAAACTACAGCCCACAAAACTTCCGAAATCGTACGGGCTTTTTTTTCCGAACCCTATAAAATATATATAGATAGATTAAGATAAATTCGGCAATGCCCTGTTAACAATCATGGTCATCATCATTGTTATCATATAATCGGTATGGTATGATTGAGCGTTGCAGAGAGAAAACGGAAAATCTCATTGAACTTCCAGGTTTTCCATATATACTATGCCTAAGATTAAATCTTGCGTCATATCATCCTAAACCAATGTCCTAAAATTTCGCAGCCAGTCAAATTTCAAGATCAGGTGTAACGTAGCACGATCAGGAAAATTCTCATCCGATGCGCGGTTCATAAAAAAATATTAATATTGGATCACTTGCCGTCAATGTTTATAGATAATCCTTCACCTGTTGGATATTTATGCACCATTGACAGTTCCTCTTGTTGAGGCTGCCTTTTGCGCATTAATAAAAAAGTTTCCTTGTAAAATTTTGTTATAAGTAATATATTTGAACCCCAATTTAATGGCAAGATCCTAACCCTAACCTAATAGCACGAAATTTTTTACAGCGAAATAGTTTGAAATTTGGCGGTTCCACACCTGATTAATCAAGTGTCATCTGACGCAATCTAATGCAAAACATATATACCTAAATATAGCTTTACAAATAGCGATTTCTAATTTCAATATTTTTTTTCCTGACTATTTGTCAAATTAAACTGATCATAGTAAATTTCTAAGATCCGGATTTTAATCTGGAAGCATTAATTTTTTGACTATTAATAGTTGGATCCTTTACAAATGTTCTTTATATTCTATAAATACTCTATATCTATAAATACTATTTATATCTATAAATACTCATATTTTAAATCATTACATGTGAAGTAATTACTTTCAGTTCACTAATTTGGTTTCAATAATCCATCTAACTTACAGTATATCCATTATTGGTTTAATTATTCCTGGCTCAGTGATAAATAATATCATTCAGATGAATTTCCAAGCTAATAAAAAAGCTTTAATTCGACTCAGCTTCGTCTGGTAAATTTTTTGAGCATAATACACCAACATTGCATAATGGTTATAGTAGAAAAACTCCGTTTTCTTTCACCGTTATTAATATGTTTATTTATCTATACAATTCAACCATTAATCGTTCACGCACAACAGTCGTATGGAAATGACGCTACAAGCTTACCAGACGTGCCAGTAAAGTGGACATGTAATGGGACAGATTTGGATATTCGAGCTTATGATGGAACTTGTAATAATCTTGAAAATTCAAATTGGGGAGTTCCAAATAGGGTTTATGATCGAGGAAATTTTTCTGCAGTTTATAAAGATAACTTTACTGGTGAACCTATAATAAGGATAGATGCTAGAATGATTTCAAACACGTTATGTGATAGTGGTCAAAGTCCTGTATTCTCTGGAAGCCCTTTGACTGATGATATTTTATCCTCAACGCGAAATTCAATGTTCGAAGTCGTAAGTATTGAAAATAATACTAATAGTTAAAAATCTATTCACGTGACGTCACATGGTGAATTCTTTTTTTTTAAAAAAAAAAAAAAAAAAGTTTTTTGGTCAATTCGTTAACCATGATGTTGAAGACGCTGCTCTTCAAAACGGGCCACGATTTGCGATAGGCGACGTTACTAATGATAAGATCTTTAGTAATGCATCAAGAAGTTTATTTAACCCTTCTCAAACACCACGTAAGCATCAATCATTAATTCATACACATAATAACTAGTATGTAGTAACAATCAATTTCGTTTTATATTCTTACAGACATGATATTATCGCTCTCATGGGGTCGTATAGTAAATTCCACTTTATATCCAGTCAATTTTGCTAATTCTTACCTCGACCTATCAACAATATATGGTGTTGATAATGCTACAGCGCGAAAACTTCGAACTCTTAAAGATGGCAAATTAGTTACTGAAGATTTCATAGGAAATGGTGGTGCTTATAACACTGCACTAAATAACGTATCTATAAAAAATTTTGCACCAGCTTCTGGCAAAGTAGGTCTTTTTCCTCATCTTTTGCCGCCAGAAATTAAAGTAGATGATGGGCTTGTTAGTGGCGACTTGCGTTGTTCAGAAAATATTCAATTGTGCATTATGCATACAATTTGGATTCGTGAACATAATTATTGGGCGGAAAAAATAGCACGTGAAAGACCTGAATTGACAAACGATGAGGCTATTTTTCAATATGCTAGAAAAATAGTAATTGGAGAATATCAACATATAATTTTTGAAGAATATTTACCCTCAGCGCTTGGTGTTGAAATGCCACCGTATTCGGGTTATGACCCAACACTAAATCCTGACACGACAATTCATTTTGCTGGTGTTGCATTCAGATATGGTCATTCAAATACTCGACCATATGATCTCATCGACGGATGTACTGGTCAATCCTTTGATCCTCATCCTAGTTTTAAATTCCCCGAGTCTCATTTACATCGGCTTTATTTTATGGGTAAAGCTGTTAGAATCCCAACACCATCTCCAGGTTTAAACTATACTGATGGATTGCTTGATTATACTCCCGTTAGGTAATTAAAGTTTTTATCACAAATTAAAACTTTGTATGCTTATAATATAACTATATTTAATTTGGATATAGAATTTTAACTTTAGCTTCAGGAAAAAATGGAGATGGTGTTGATAATATAATCATTAGCATGTTGAGAGCAAGATCTGCGGAGTTCGATTTAGAATTTTCAAGTACATTACGAAACATGCCTGGTGTTATTGATCTGGCAGCCGTAGATATTGCTCGAGGTATGTATAATCTTATTTCATATCAAATTAATAGTACTTAAATTATTTCTCTCTACATCAAAAGGTCGTTTTCTCGGTCTTCCGGATTATGACACATTCCGTGCTGTATATCATCCTGCGGGAAGCATTTACAGCAATCCAAATTGTACTCGATCAGGCGCGCAAGATTCTGTGGACTGCTTTAATATCATTACTAATAACATAACAATTGCGACAAAATTACAAAAAATTTATGGTAAAGTCAATCGGATAGATGCATTCATTGGAATTTTTGCTGAGAGTAAAGATGAAAACGCTCCTTTACCACCAACAATTACCGCAATGATAAGAGAAGAATTTCTTCGAAAAAGAATTTCTGATAGATTTTGGTATGAAGGATCAAAATATACAACTGATGAAATTGATTTGATTAAACAAGCTACCATGAGAGATATTATTATGAGGAATACAGGAGTTCGAAATATACAAGATAATCCATTTAAATCAGATGATTTGGGTAAGTTATATAGTTATACATGACTTATTTGTGTGTTGTTCTTTATCTGACTATTTCTGGCTTATCCGTTTAGCAAGTGCCGATTGTGTAGCGGAATAACAAACTGAAATAAAATTTCTCTTGCGTATCAATAATACATTTTTTATGACAATATTTTAAGGCCGGAAAAATGTTATTTGAGCTAAACAAATCTTACCTTTAGGCAATGATGGGTTCGACAGTGTTCCAGGCCTTTTAGCCTTGTCCTGAACATGGCTCATTAATGTCATTATAAATATCTTTTAAAGCAATATATATATATCAATATGTATATAATTAAATGTCAAATATTTTTATTTAAATATATAAAACTGGTTATCTTATATAATAAACTTTTGAGTTATCAATAAATTTAAATTGTTCCAAATTTGTCCAAATTGTCTTTAACCCAACACAGCCTTTAGGCTTTATTATAATAAACTGTTATTTAATAATGCTGGATGTTAGAGACTAATTTATTATTTGAAAAATAAACATCGGGCAAGATTATGTTGGTTTTTAGTCGATATCATAAATTTCCTAATTTATTCTATATAGTAACTGATTGAGGATATTTATCAAAGAAATCTCAAAAAAGCTAGGTACAGTATATTTCGGGAGTTCAAAATATTATCACATGAATATTCTATCTGATTACTCGATATTTTTTTTATTCGAGTCAAAACTCTAGTGTTTATTTTTTTTTAACCTCTTGACATAAAAGTCGTAGGAGACAAGAGACGCTTTAATTATATTCGAAAAACTAACAGGTAAAGTTTAGAGTTACATTAACAATTCTCAAATTCTATACTAATGTGCTGGGTGGGAAATTTAACATCATCATTATTATTATTATTATTATATTTTTATTATTTTATTTTATTTTATTTTATTTTCTTATTTTTTTTATCTTCAACCTAGGTAGTTCATCACCGTTATACATTGTTGGATCGCTCAGGATAAAGAGAATTCGTCTCGTGAGTATTTGGTTAAAATATTAATTTTTGAATTTTTAGTTGTTAGCCTTTTCCGTAGGACCTGAAATTCACTTGAAAAGACGGCTTACAATAATTTTTTTAAGGGCCGGAGCACCGTTACCCCATTTTTCACTAGATTTCAAGCACCAAATTTCAT